ATAACTGGTAATAACTTGCTTTCTGGATGTTAGGGGTATGATTCTACCGTGATTTTCAAAATCAGAACACGTACCACAGACCAAACACAAAACTTGGAATTAATGAGAATTGATGTCCTCTGGCGGCAGAATAAAGATAATACGGATCAGATGGGCAAAGTGCCATGGCTTGCCTTTACGGGTAACACTGGAAAGCATCCCCACACCAACAGTGCTTTTCGTGAACACGTGTTACAGGCCTTTTTCTTCTTAAAAAAATATTCGAATATTTGAACATAAATGCAGAGGTCACAATCAGACACTAAAAACCAAGCCGGAAGAGAGGCGTAACTTGACATACAACTGAAAACGTAATCTCTAATTGATGGCAAAACCTGGTTTGTTTTTTGGGTTGGGGTCAGGATGGGACACCAACAGGAATGGATATAGGATTCTTCACATGGCAGCCAACTCTCTTCTAATGATAACCCATAACGAAACATTTTTTTCTAAAAACAGGGTCTTCTCTGAATAGGGTCTGTTTTTCCTGAGGTATTCTTTCCCTGCAGTCTCTACTGCTAGTTCATTGGCTCCGCAGCTTCAGTTTGTCAAAGAAAAAGGCACAGAGCGACTTGGGACATAGACAGCCATAAATGCCTCCGTAGCTGAGCAAAGACCCGCGGCAGGCCGATCCGCTCACTCTGACACGATCTCCGCAACGTTAACAGCAACAAAGTGCGCACTGTTCACCGAGGCCTGACCTTCACTCCTCTACAGCAGATGATGTCTGCTCCTAAAGCAAGTTGAAAATCAACTTTTTATTACTGAAATATAACTAACTAACACTGGTCCAACTGAGCTTTACTCAAGTGATCAAAATGAGAAGCATCTTGTGGCAACCAAAAAGCGGTGGGATTTAAAAAAAATTTTTTTAAGTGTTTTCACAGCAAAGATGCAACTTTCAATTGCTATATATACGCTGGTCGTAATCTGTTGCTTGTTTGTTCAGACTTCTTTCCCTTGTGCTATAATATTGATATTTAATAAGAAAATAAACTACATAGACTTTTATCTGTATGCATCCATTTGCAAATTTCCTTACAAAAAAGGACGAAGCACATAGGCATTCACAAATTCTATGCCATTCTGTTAAAACTGGTATCATCTATACATTATATTACAGTATTAACAATATTTTTGTTCTACCCATTGGGTAGGATATGTGCATAATATATTCGACTTATATACAGCACCTTACAAATAAAAACATAAGAAAAGACAGACAACTGAAAAAGCACCATTTTAAGTGAGGCACAACAAAGGTGGGCATTGACCGAGTGCAGGGGGCGGCTTGGGTCCTCTGTCTGCGGAAACCGGAACTGACATGCAGAGCTCTTTGAAATGATAGGAATATATATATATATATATATATAAAATATGCACAGATAGTGTATATAGAATCTCTGTATAGCTCTAACCTTCTCCCGCATTACACAAAACAAGCACACGCCGGGGAAGAAAGAGAAGGATGAAGGAAGACACTGCTCTCTTAGCAAGACATTCCTGCACTCACAGACGACAGCTTCCTAACGCACCCAGCTCGGGCGGCAGCAGCCGCGCCTGCTAACCCTGGCAACAACATAAACGTGAACTATGCAAAGGACACAGTGTGCTGGGTACGAAAGTTCGCTGCAATCTTGATTCCCAAGAAGCGTGGGCTATTGCGAGGCTAAGAGCGCTTTCCACTGTTCGTTCACATCTCTGTGACCTCTGGTCAGGTGCTGGCCGCAGGGCCGCAGTGGAATTGGTCACAGCCGGGGAAGCCACAAAGCCACTGAGAACTTCCATTTGTGGTGTGGGCTGAAGGCAGAGTTTCTTGGTTTGTGACTTTGGTGTGCTACCATTAGAGAAAGTGTCCTCACAGTGAGAAGGGGAGGGCCTCCCCTTGCCAACCTGTCATCCAAAAGTGCCCCTTCACCCTCCCTACGCCAAGAACGGGGTGCTCTGGGGCAGTGTGAGCGGGAGCGGCTGCGCTCGTGCCCCTGAGCAAAGCTTGGGGGGCGCACGGAGCGGGGTGAAGGCTCGGCCTGGAACCCTGGCTTCAGTCACCTGGGCAAGAAAAGCCCACGTGAACAGAAACCAAGCATCCTGCCCGGGTTTTTCCTTCATACACTGCTGAGCTTTGGGAGTTTTAAGAAAAATGAATGCTACACAAATAGAGTTAACGTCACCATTCTAAGTGGCAAAATTCAACAGGCAAGCACCAGCGCCACCCGCAGCGCGTCAACAGAGAGCCCCGGGAGCCTGCGGGGCCAGGACCGCGAGGGACGCCCCTCTGCCGCGAGGCCGGCGGGCGCGAGTCTGTGCTGGCAGCCAGCGTCTGGCTGAGGACATGTCTGAGGGGCTCTGGCCGGGAGTCCTCCTGAATAGAACAGCAGCTGGTGGGAGCTAGAGGATCACCCTGTCAGAGATGGGACAAGGGTTCGGACAGGAAGGCAGGGATTGGGATGGATTCTTCTAGATTGGAGGGGCTTTCTACAGGGGCTTCCTTTTGAGCCCTTCTCATTCTTACGAAGACAAAATAAAGGTGAAGGAGATCAGAGGCAGGTACGCAGAAGACGCATCCGTTGCCCGCTTCCTATGCTGGTGCCGGGAGGCCCACCCCGTTTACTGCCGGCCTCTGTTTCCGCTCTCCTGAGTCTGAGCCACAATTAATGACTAGAAGTGTATCCTCATGATAAAGCTGCGTTACGTTTTAAAGATTCTCTCCTCTGCTACCTTGAAATTTCTCAGGGATTGGGCGTGTGTCTGTGTGCTTTGTGGTGGGGGCGTGCTGGTCAAGCTGCTTTATCTGTAAATTTTGGACACAAAAAACAGATCCACTATAAAAATGCATATTTGTTTCACCAGATCTCTTTCCATTAAGGATTGCGTCAGTGTTTAAAGAACGCTAGAGTTTCTAAACAAGCAAGTGTATGCTAGAAGACTGTGTTCCTGTAGATGGGATTCAAGATGCCTTGGGTTTCCTACTGCTGGAAGTCACTGGGACACGGGACAGAAGTCAGTGGTATGCCCAGGAGAGTTAGTTCCCACCCACTGTTCTTTCCCACAATGCAATCCTTTATTGCAACACTGTCCTAGAACCTGGGATCATAAACCTACGGTTGGTTGCCTAAGCCACTGGTTTCTACACTGGACCCTCAGGTTCCATAAGCTTAAAGGTTCTCGAAAGAACAGACTCCGCTGTGAAAGCTGCATCTTCACAACCGCTACTCTTTCAGCACCGGCCGGGCACGAGGCCGCGCGGCAGGGACAGGGCAGCTGCAGCCTTCAACGCAGCTGCTGATCTACATCACCTTTTCCCTGTGTCAAAGGAAAACTGACTATTAATCCAATTTATGACCTTGGCTTTTAAAGTAATTCATCGCAGAGGCCCAGCCTCAAAGACCTTTCAAAGTCATGGTTTGATATGTATGTCTTTAAATAACTGACTTACAAGGCGATTCTCTAGGGTGGTTGAATGGGAGGAACCTCTCTTCTGAAAGACGATTAAAGGTATCTGCATTAAATAATTGTCTTGCCAATACTGTGGACATCTGCAAAACGTTCATATACTTGCAAAGCAAGGAACTTGCAGGTGTCCGATCTGAGCTCGTTCTTGGAGCAGGTGGAAAGGCAAGGACTGGTGAAAACATTCCAGGCTACAGCTACAGCTGGGTTCACCTGCTTGACCAAAACTGTGGGCAAGGTTTGGAAAGATGAAATCAACTTTGCGTGTGACGGGATACCTGACCAAGAATACACCTGAGGCCCCCCGGCGAGGCCCGACTGGTGCGAGGGTCTCCCCATCTGCACCCGACCCTCGGTGACGGGCGCGTCACGGGACCCCTGCTGCTTCCAAGCACAGGCTCCAAGTCCGGGCCGGTGCCCTGCAGGGAGCCTCGGGGGGTGGGAAAGGTCATCTCTGGCCCCAAGTCAGTCTCTGCCCTGACAGCTGGCTTCTCCCTGACAGGTGACACTGCCACAAGACTGAACCCAGTCTCAGAAGTCCCACTGTGGCCCTTGGCTGCAAATATTTCCACGCAGGGTCTCAGGCACCAGATGACGACCGTGGCCCATCTTTTCTTTCTCTCCTTTGAAGAATGTGACTAGTTCTGTGGATGTTACTGGGTGAAGCGGATGGATCGAATAGAGATTTCAGTCCTCGAAACAAACCTACCTACCGCGGAACGAAGCAGGAGGGAGCAGACAGGACCCGGGGCCCGGAACGGTCCCTCCAGCTCCTAGCAACAGCGCAAAGCCACCTCACTGAGGGATCGCTTCCAAGACCCACAGACAGACACGGACACACATACGCTGATTTGGCATTAAAGCTGCATAGATCAGAGATGCTGGACCGTTATTCCTGCTCCTCTAATTCACAGAGGCCAGAGAGGCCGCCCTCCGAAGGGGGCCGAGCTGCAGAGAAGCGTCTCCGCGGCGCAGTGTTTGCTGCACTTGCTGGCTGCCGCCGTTGCGAAAGCCGGTGCTTACGTCTGCAGAAGAAAGTTGTTCTTTTTTTTAAGTTGTAAGGATGAGTGTTTGTAAATATCAGGAATATGGAAACTAAGACTAACGATATTTAAAATTAGTTTTCTAGCTGCATTTTAACTGCATGTTGTGCTTCTTATCCTGTGCTCTTAAGTCGCTCCGCCGACCTCCTGCTTCTGCCCCCAGTACAAAGGCCAACCTGGGGGCGGGCTGGGTTGAATCCTGCCAGGAGTTTGGGGGGTTTTGAGCACTGCGTTCCTCTAAGAATGCCACGCTAACGCTAGAGACACGCAATGGCTTATTACGACCAGCAACACGGCATTCTGCTGTGCGTTCCAGAGGCTTCCTGAGCATCCCTCACACGTAACACCGCAGGCAGGCTGTGTCGGGCGACTGCTGGGAGCCGCCTGCTGCACTGGCTGTCTAGGAAGGGGGGAGGCGGTGGGTGTGCCGAGGAGTCACACAGTTCAACAGGATACAGAATAGCCACCTTGCATTTTAAACAATTTATTGCATAAAGTAAGGTATGTATCTGAATAAATTTCATGCTACAGTGAAAAAAAAAATCTAAATTACTGAAGAAACTGCACTGCCGGAGGATGAGGGCAGCACTGCATGATACTGGGTATACATAAACACATGTGTCGGGTTCAGTTTTAATAAAATATGCAGCCTACAACTAGCAGAGTAACTCAAATAACAAGTCAGAAATGCTGGAACTTATCAGTATTTCCTATCTTCCAACCACAAGTCTCCAAATGCTTCAGCAATGCATTGCTATTGGAGGCAAATTCTTGCAACAATGACTATTTCGATTTGTGTAAGTTGGTAAGTATTAGGCTGCACCCCCAGTTATCTTTCTTGTATGATTCTGGGGTACACCCCAGGATGTTCCTTGGGCCTAATAATAATCCACAGGTGAAAAGACGACATACAGAACTTCACGGAAAACAGTTCCCTCATATATATTTTAAACATTAAGATAGTGCAACTTTCAAAACACATCATCACAACACAAATTAGCTCCTTGCATTCGTCTAACTTCTCCACTTTTTACCTTGGCACACAAAACAGGAATTTTGATTCATATTTTTAAAACAAAATAAAAGTTCCACACCTTGGGAGAAAAAGCAAACTGGCTGATTCTTCCCCATGATAATATAGAATAATGCTTCCTTCTTTATTCAGTTAACTATAAAACAGGCCATTCTGGCCTCATTTATCTGCAAAGTCTCCTTTCGGAATTAAATAAATCAAATACCTCTGTGGGTTTTATTTCATGATATCTTCAAAGCATCCCTTTCTGTTTCCCCTGCCCACTCCCCCATCCCAACCCCTGTCCCCGAATCAACACTGTTCGTGGTCAGACCAGATGGAAGTTTGTGTCTTTTCAGTCTAGTTTGCATGCAATTCCCCTGAAAGGAATCAGACGCAAAGGCCGCGCCTGCTCGTTTGTTTTACTTAGCTGTGCCACGTAAGACTGAACGACGCTGCGCAGGAGGGGCCCCCTGGGCCTCTTCCCTCCGTGGTTTCTCCCTCCTCGATTCAAGCGCACGTCGGAGGGAATCAGACCAGGTTCCCGGGCTTCCTGTCTTTGCCTTTGAGGGGTACGATTGTGCTCTCTGAACTGTTCTGCTGCAGCTGCAGTCTGCTGCCCCTGTGTGCGCTGCTGCGCTGCTGGTGGAGGAGAGAGGTGCCCGGGTGGTGGCCCATCACCTCGCTGTACGTGGGCGGCGGTCCCTCCATCCTCCCGTTACTGCTGCAGGTGGTTGCGCTGATGCCCGAGTTGCTGCTCGGCGGGCACGGGCCCCCGCTGTACATGGCAACGTCTATCAAATCGCTGTCGAATATGGTTCGGTTGGGCGGGGCCCTCACGGACTCCCGGTTGAGCTCCATCTGCTGCTCGGGGTCTCGGAGCTGCAGCGTGCAGGGCCCCTGGTAAGGAGGTGGCTCCTCGCCGTCGGACAGGGAGATGGTGGGAGGAAGGTCGATCTCGTGCTGCACGTAGGGGTAGGTGGGCTGGAAGCGGCTGAACCGATCCCTCTGGATAAAGGACGGGGCCGCGAACCTGTCCCTGGACCTCGGGGCATACATGATCTGGAAGGAAAAGGGGAGGAGGCCTGAAGATGCTCTCGGCACCGTGACGACCACGGATGTGACGGCATCAAGGAAATTCACGCCTGGCCTGTGTTCTTACCAGTTTGGACGCCATTTCGCAGACAAAAGAGGAAAAGACTATTCCAGGAACAAAACAAAACAAATAAACAAAAAAACCGTTCTTTTCTCATTCCTCATGACTTAGACCTACACACCCGGCCGAACGACAGTGTGTCCAAGACGGCCGACTAATGGGGAAGTTGGGTCTGATGGGAGCCACGGCCCCTGCTGTGAAGGCCGTCTCGGGCGCCAGTGGACGTGACCGTAGTTCCGAGCGCGCCGCGCACCAGCGCCCGCTCCCGCCCCCGCGAGGAGCTCGGCAGCTCTGGCTCAGAAAAGCGAGGGGGGCTCTGGGCTTGGATGGGAAATGTAAGCTGTCACTTCACACGTGGTACTCGGCGTGGGGACAGGCACTGGGGCAATCTATTAATTACTTACAGAAGCTAATTGCCCCATCAAGGATTTTTTAAAAAATTTGAAAAAAGGGACTTTTCCTTCTGGCTTCCCTACATTTCCAGTTAGTTGGATTCTAAATAAAAGTTTTCTACAGTTACTTTTAGTCACTGATGTGAAAAATGTTTCGTATTCCAAAGTTAATATGATCATACATTTCTTTTTCCAAAATAAATCCAGGTAGTATATTTCTTACAAAATCCTTTAATTTATTCTACCATCCAAGTTTCTTCTAGGAGACAGATCTTTTTTATATATATAAAAACATATTTATATATATACACACACACACGCGTGTGTGATATACATGCATTGAATATATATACATATACACACACAGCTACTGATTTTTCTTACACCATATTTTTAATTTAAAGGCAAAAAATATGTTATTTTAAAATTCATATCATTAAACCTGGAGCTGTGGAGCTGAACGGCACTGCGCCCACACTCGCCAGGGACCACCGGCAGCAGCTTGCGGGTGGGTCAGGTGCAGACCAGGGGCCCGGCCTATTTTCTGCGAGGAGCTGTAGCTCGGCACAGATCATCCCACGGGCTCCCGGGAGAATCCCCTCCCCGCTTTTTGGCCGAGGTCACAAGCCATGCTTGATCCAGTGTTGCTCCTTAGCCGCCCCCGCCAGAGCCCTGGCCACCCACAGGACCACCCCTTACCTCTGAGGCCCCTGGCCGTGGCACGGAGCTGTCTGAAGGCCACAGACACCCTTCCTGGTGGCGGGGAGGCGAGGGAAGTGAGGAACAAGAAACAGCAGAAAGAAATCATTAGTTTCATATAGCAGCAGCAGCACCCAGAACACTAACCACAACTTTTTGAAACATGCTCAAAACGTGGAACAAGAAAGAATTAGTCCTTTGGGTACCTCACATCTAAAGGAGGGTTGTGATCAAAGGAAAAGATCAGAAAGGTTACTTTCCACCTGTAATAGATTTGAAGGAGATCCGAAGTCAAACGTTGCTCAATCTCTACATTTCTGTGCCTGACGTCTGTTCAAAATGGTCACGAAACCATACTCGGCCACTGCCCAGCTGGGGCAGTTTCTGGGTTACCTGTCAGGCAGAGGCGGGCCTCACGCAACACGCACTACCGCAAAGACACACGGCTGGCTCTCGGAACCGAGTTCCCAAAGCCTGAATGCCCTCCCAGAGTCTTCTCGTGAATTTATTCTTTGGTCTGTAACATGTAACTTGACACCTAGTTGCTTAATATCTTTTTTCAAAAATGTTTGGCCAGACTGACATGGTGACAAGCAAACAGGCATCATTAAGGGTCATTTCTAACACCTTGAACCCAAAGTGTTGGCTATTAGAAAGGTCTGTTCCCATAATTACAAAGCAGATTGTGAACTTTGTCGCGGGGAGCAGGGCAGAAGCTGTATTTTTGGATTCCCAGGAATAGGTATGTTTGACCTTGGACGATCACGGAGCCTCCCAGGAGCCACAAAGCGCGGTTAAGTGAAGACCTCCGTGGAAAAACACCCCAAAATCCGACGCAAAGGCCACCCTGTTCTGTTCTGCGGCCAGTGCCGTAATATAAATACCCCTTCGCTGCTAAACAGGGTGTGTGTCCGGCACACACACCCGTTCCTAAGATACTCGCAGGACATCATGGAACCAGGAGCAAAAATATACGCTGACCCGGCTGTGTTTAGAGGAAGTGTGGGCTTAAGGGTCTGACTATCAAATTATGTAATGGGTCATGACAGCTCTGGCACGGTGACAGGTGACAGGCAAAGTCGAATCAAGTGCGCGACTGATCACCCCCTCCGTGCGGCGGGGGCGGCACAGCCCTTCCGCGGCCCCCCTCCCCGGCAGAGCGCCCCGTCGCCGGGCTCCGCGTGGTCCCGGCCCGGCTCCCACTGGAAGCACGTCTCTGAGATGCATCGCTCCGCCCTCGCCCCTCTCGCCGCCCCGCAGGGGCCCTGCTCCTCCAGGCTGGGGCCGGGGCCACCGCGGCGCCCTGCAGATGGAAGCACAGGCGGGCAGGGCTGGAGACACAGCCACCCAGGTCGTACGGGGAGGGGGGACCCACGCGGGGGCTGCGCGTTTTCTGAAAATGGCAGTCACCACCCCAACGGCTTTATTTCCCTAAAAATTAGCAAACCCAGCAAAGTGCCTACAAGAGCCCCGAGTCGAGCATGGCGACGCGCCCCCCATGTCCGGCCTCTAGCTCCCCACCCCCTCCCTGGAGCCCTGGCCTGGCCCTGCCCTCACGGCACCCCAGGCGGAGGCGTCCCCACCCCTAAGACCAAACCTGTGGGAAGTGGAACACGCTGGCTGCTGCGTAGCCCTCCCCTTCTTCCCTGTCGCCGGCCCCTCTCCCTCACCCCGCTCGGAGGAGTCCTGTGGGAGACTCGTCCTTCCTCCCCGCAAAGGCCCCCCACGGTCCCTGGCCCTCCTGGGGCTGCAGCATGGGTGTCAGGTCAAAGGCCAAAGTGGGCGCAGCTGGCCCCAGCGTGGTCCTTGTGCTGGGGACAGTGCTTGCACCCCCAGACTCTCCAGCCCCTGCGGCTGCCCAGACGCCAAGGACTCTCCTGCCTGGGACAGCCACAGCCCGTAACTAACCATCTTTTCCTCTCTGTGGGTGCTGAAAAATTACACACGTCACACACGTATACATCCTCCCTTACACCACACACAGCAAAAGCCACTCTGGTGACGCTAACCGCCCGCACCCGGTCCTGCGTCGCTCCCTCTGCCCAGGGACCACTGACAGGAGTTCACTGTGCATCTTCCTCGGGGACGGCGTCTTTCTAATACTGCATTTCCGGGACCTACATGCTTGACACAGGCATCATTTAATTTGTTAAAGAAGCAACCAGATTCTTTCCTTAATAAACGGTTCTTCGTCTGTACTGCTCCCATGAGTTGCAGGCCTGTGAGCCCAGCGGCTGGTCCCTCTTCTCGGGCGGCACCAGGAGCCTCGACCGACAGGGACACTCGCGGTTGTCTCTCTCACTTGCCTTCTCCAGCCACGGTCAGCGGGTTTTCTGACCACGTCCCACGGGGGGTTCCTGAAGCCAGGAAAGGGAGCCGAGGGGCAGGCCCCGCACGCCCAGCCCTGGCCCGTGCCCGGGGCCACGCACAAGTGCACGGCCCAGCTGCTCCTGCTGCTCCAAACAAGGGCACAGCCGTTTCCTGTACATTGTGCTAGCCAGGGCGAGGCCCCCAAAGCCTAAGAACCAGGCCTGGAGCAGGGAGGGGCAGCCATAGGTCAAGAGCTCGGGCCGTTCTTGCCTTGGGACGCTGCTGCACCTGCCAGTCGGCACGGCCTGGAGGTGGGGACTTTTCTTGCCTAGCTTTTGTATTTTGCAGGAATAATCAGCAAAATCAAAATTCCAAAATGGGAGGAAATTCACCTACAATCCCATCACCCTAATACCTGAACAGATTTCTTCGTTCAAGTGCTGATTCATTTGCATATATTACGTTTCTGTAGTTGCAACCGTAACGTAGGGATGACTGTGTCTTCCCTTCTTCTTGGAGTCGACCACCAGTGCTGCCCTCCACCACCACCATTTTTCCCAGCTTTATTGAAGTATAACTGACAAGTAAAAATTATCGCTATGCAACAATTTATGTAACTATTCACTGACAATTGCCCCCTGCCCCGATTTACTCCATTTTATAGGCAATGTTTTCTCCAGGTCTTCACCCACGCGGTAGGTAGGGGACATTATAACCACAAGCTGCTATGGTGGGACGGGTTGAGGCCGGCCGCCACGAGGGCCGTGGTTCCAGTTCTGTGCCCCATGCTACGCAGAAAACCCAGACCTGGGAGACCGACCAGAGCTGTAGAAAGGCTGCATCCCGCCCACCCAGATCTTCGGCTGGTGCTCTCCCCGCAGCTCCCTCTCCAGCCACTCCATTGAGGCCGCCCTCGTTGCCGCTTAAGCCTGTCACGCCGCAGGTGAGCCTCCTGGCTCTTGCTCGCCCTTGGGGAAGTGGCCAAGTCCTCGGCACATGGGAAAACGATTTGACTCTATGACCAGTGTCCTCCCGGGCCCTGGACCGTCTGAGAGACCGCAGGCGGGCAGCGCAAAGATGCGAGCCCTGGTCTAGAGCCCTCGCTGCCTCATCTCCAAGCACCGGGAGAACATTTTCAGGGCGAGGCGGACTCACTGTACAGCCGCCATCTGCTCAAATGGCAGCATTTCTGGGTCCTCATCGTGGAACCAATTTCGATCTCAACGACGAGGGCAGCAATGTTCTTTGCCAATGCTTGCATTGCTACACGGTGTTACGCTCAGGATAAGCCGGGAAATAAGATAATACTTAGAGTAGTTCACAGAATTTTGAGCAATAGGAACAAAGTTTTGGTAATAATTTGCGCAGGTTTACACGCACTCGCGCGGGCTGTTTCCTTGCGAGAATACCAACGAAAAGGACGCGAAACCGCCACCCGTCTGTTTGTTAATCGCTCCGTTATACATGTCCCTTCCTCGCAGCAGGTCACAGCCCCTTTCCACCGCCACACGCAAGATGATGCACACACATCCTGCAGGGACTCGCGCCGCATGTCCCCACGGTGGAACCCTGGAAATTCCCAGGGTTCAAGCTGTCAGTCCAACCCCTTGTTCCACTCAAGGCAGATTACTCTAGAGATCCCTTAGAATCAACTCTAGTTTATTTTCTGAGATGCATCACTCTCAAATCACTCATGTTTCATCTATTACACCGGATACTTTATACCAATAGATTTGATCTATTGTGCCAGTTCCTTGGGGTGCATGTTACACCGAGAGGACACGGCGATGGTCACAACGGCTGCAGGAAGCTCGCCAGAGGGCATCAGACCTGGGGAGCGCGGGGAGAGGGAAGCGGGTCTTGGGCCCTCTGCGTGCGCAGGCCTCGCATGCATGTTTCCTACTCCCTAGTTTTCTCCCTGGAACAAAGGCACTAACAATTAAAGATGACACGGATCACCTGACGACGATTTAATGTCACACGGCTGGCGGATGCAGCTATGGGCATGGCTGCACACTGGCAGGGCAAGCAGGCTCCGAGGTAGCAGAGACCCGGCGGGAACCCCGGCTCTGCCTGGCTCTGCCGCATCTCCGCCTGCGGCCTGGGCAGCTCACTTAGGACAGCTCCTCCGAGCAAGGGGACCGTGGGGCTCGGTGGCCGGGCACAGAGCAGCCTTGAGCAAGTGTCTTCTCGTTACAGGTAACGGCTGCCTGCTGTGTTAAGCACAATTAAAGGTGGGTAATTTTCCATTGTCTCTTTTAAGATATCCCTTTAAAAATAATGAGTCATTGACTTTTCCCGAATGATTATTTTTTAAACAATGCCCCAAAGGTGGTATTTGGAGTGGAAGGGCTGGGGCATGAGGGCCGCTGGGGCAGAGCTGAATTTACTTCCGACTTCCTCAGGAGCTTTCTGAGGTCAGGAGCTGGCCTGTCCACGAGACCCCTCACGGCAAGTTCTCCGACGCTCCGGACTCCTGGGTTTCAGCAGAATCCCCGCTGCCGCAGGGATTAAGGGCCACCATCACATCCTGACTACCTGCACTCTTAAAACAGCCCAGCGGCAATCCACTGCCCACAGAGGAAACCACCGGTTACAAAGCTCGCAGGTCACCTGCACCACACACTGTGTCCTGACGTCATGAGGTCACACAGGGACACACCATACGGGGTAAAAAAACAACTTCATAGCATTCAATTTGGTGATAAGCTTTTATTTTCTCTTGGATTTTTTTCTAAAATGAA